TTACACCGTCTTGGTTTCCGTTTCATTTCCTTCCTTTATTACCTCCTGCATGCAGTTGAATTACGACCACTTGTTATGAAGCTTGAGATAATGTTTTGCTGATTCAAAGGTGTCTTAAGGTGCCTCCAAAACTCAGAGCCCGAAAACTCTTCTTAATTTATACAGAATTAATCGAATATTAAGGATCCGTAGTATATAATATCCGAGCCATTGTAAGTAAACGGCTTTTAAGTATAACATCAATTTCATCAATTTCGTTTATACAGTACCTATAAAGGAACCAAGAAAAACAGACGAATGCTGGGTATTATTTTCGTGATCCGAGCAGAGGAATCTACCACCTACCTTTTTTTTTTTTTTCCTCTCCCTGCAGATTTTGCCTATGACAGTGTATCGACCAAAAGCAGCTAAGACGTCTTGAAGTAATCCGCAGTAAACACGCTGCGAAAGCGAAAAAGCACACACAAAAAAAGAATTGCCTCAAAACCGTCTTAATTTTGAGCACATTTAAAACCATCCGTTCCATAAAAAGTGCATAACACACGCAGCATCCAGAGAGAGAACGATAAACTTCATGTGTCCTTCTTAGCTTGAGGGGCTATGTTAAATCCACAGGACCAACGAAACGAGCCCGTATTGTGTTCTGAATTTTCATCACGATGAAATTTGTTATTCTCTCTAAATTTCTAAAGAAATAGATGCATGTCAAAATTCGGTCAAAATTCTGTAATTACTGACGTCAAACTAATTGAAAATAAATTTAGTTTAGTACAGCAAACATACGTTTTCTGTTTAAATATGGCTTACAGGGAACCTTCCGCTATAACTCGGACCTTTGGAGCAATATGGAAACATATTATCCAGTACGAGGAGAAGTAGTATTTGATACACAAGAGACGAAGTTGGACACCTACTGGAACACACCTTTCCACAAGATCTGTCTTGGAATGAAAATCAACGGCGTAAAAAATCCAAGTTTTGTCGTTATAAACAAGACGGCTGATTCTTTGTACTCACTGATCGCTGACGGACAGTATCGCAACACCTCACTGGGTCGTGACACGTGGAAGACGTTGATTGGTCTGCAAGCCTCCTTACAGAGCAACTGTAACAAGGAAGGTTTCAATGTTTTTTGTCAAGGGGGGTCCAAAGCAAGAATTGGTTTTGTTGCCAACAATGAAAATGATTGCAAGTGGTGTGATTCCAGAATTGGATTTGGTATTG